TATAAGAAGTTACATTAGAAAATCCAACACTGAACTTGCAGCACGACACATTTCACAGACAGAGAAAAGAAAAACTTTAGTGAAAACTATTTAAATTATGGCATAAATTTAGGATTACCGTTTAACGAATTAAATTTAAAGAAAATAAAAAAGACAAGAAAGATTCCCTTAAGCAGGTACTTTTGGCGGTCGTGTGCAAAGCCCGAAGGATGGACTCGTTGAAGCGCCACTAGCTTTCGTATCAAAGCTAGAACGCTCAGCAGTAGTACCCTGCCAAAATACCTACTTAAGGCCTGATTGATAGATATTCATTATGCTTCCAAAAAAACTAATAAGAAACACGTGGTTTTACGACCACAAGCTGCTAATCGTTTGAGTTACTAGAAATGCTCGGATCTAATATCTAATAAATCTAGTACATTTAATGAATTAAATGAAAATCTAAATATAAAAGTCCAACAAATGGCTCTATACTCCCCCAAATACCAGTTCAGCGTGTACAAAATCGCCGACACTTTGTGCTGCCGACTTCTGCTCCACGTGCTCACTCCAACACTCCAACTTTATACAGACTGCCCCTGGCTATCGAATTCAAAATTTCCAGTCGGGAACCAGGAGGCAGCTGATGGCCCTACGAGCGGATTCCCAGCAGGTTGACAAAATCTGCTGGGAGAAAACAGGTGGGCGTTAGATCAGGGTTTGGAACTAACGATCACTTCCAGATTCTTAAGAATCTGATTGAGAAATCGGTCGAATATAATAAATTTTTAATATTAGTTTTTGTGGTACTAGTGTTTTATCATCTGACTTCAGGATACTACAATTTCAGATAAACAGAAGCGTAAGACAGAGCAATACCATTTCACCCAAACTGTTCAATACTCTGTTAGAATATATGTGCAAGGGCACAGACTGGAAAGAAATAGTAAATAGAAACGGTGGAAAGCTAAATCATCTCAGATTCGCTGATGAGATTGTGTTTATCGTGGACAGAATGAATCACGCGGCCTCAATGTTGAAAAAACTGCATGTTAACTCACAAAGTGGGCTTAAAAATCAACATGCCCCAACTGAATTCAGGACAAATCTTGTGCTTGATGCAAGGGTTAGAGTAGGTAGAAAAGTAGTAAGAAAAACAACTGTCTGTAATTGTCTAGGACAGGAGATCCGTATCAGTAGGGATAATCAAGTATTCGAACTTGCTCGTAGAACAGCGCTGTCTTTGGCAAGCTTAAAGGCTTCTTGAAATCGACACTCCCAATATGTCTAAAGAGGAAGGGCTGCAACCAATCCTACCGGTGCCAACACTGATAAAACAAACTATGAAAAATATCAGAGAAGCTCAGTATGCAATGGAGCGATATATACTGGGATTATCCTTAAAAGATCGAGTGCCAAATATTGAAATCCGCAGAGGAACTGGGCCATACAAACTATCTATTTATCTCAGCTCGTCTCCATCCACTCCTGGATGTAGGAATCTTCCAGATCTTTCCATGTCGCTCGGTTTGACGCTACGTGTAGCCAATGTCTCCCTCAATCTTCCTGATGTCATCTAGTCATCTCCGTTGCGGTCTTCCTACACTCCGACTTGTTGTCTGGGGTCTGCACTGGACAACCTTTTTCGGCCAGCCAGCAATCCGCGCCACTACATCTGTGATCTTAGTGCGCCTTCGGATCTCCACGTAGCGCACTCTGTCTCTGAGACTGATCCCTAGCATTGCCCCCTCCATGGCTTTTTGGCTTGTCCTTAGTCTACTTGCACATTTTTGCGTAAACGCGGTGGTTTCCAGGCCATACGTTGTTGCCGGTAGTACACAGGATTTGTATACGTTTCGTTTCAGATTAATGAGCATAGCTGGGTTTTTGAGGATGAAGCCGAGTTTCCAAACGCTGCCCATGTTAGTCTTATCCTTCTTGTCATTTCGGTGGTTTGGTTTTCTTTGCCCAGTTTGATAATGTGACCAATGTAGATGTAGTGTTCTACAGCTTCTAGGATATGATTTTCCACCGATATCTGGGGAGCGTCCGGGCTCAAGGCTTGAAGGTTCATCCTCAAACCAATCCCCGCTGATACCTTGTGAAGTTCCTCAGTATATCCTTCAGTTCCTCTGGGTCGCTGCTTACGATGTCGTCCGCGAATATCAGGTGGTTTAGATAGGTGCCGTCAATATTAATGCCCTTCTTCTCCCCGGATAGATTCTTCAAGAAGCCAGTCTTCCAGTGCCAAGGTAAATAGCATGGGAGATATCGTGTCTCCCTGGCGAACGCCTCTCTCAACCGGGATTTTTTTCGTCACTATGTCTTCCTTCGGTTTCACCCGGAGTGTTGCACTGGCGTAGATGTGTTTGATAAGGATACTACAAAGTAGCGCGAATCAATTCTCGCCCTATCCATTACCTCCAGTATTGCTCATATCTCGATAGAGTCGAACGCTTTTTGATAATCTATGAAGTTCAGATGAAGAGGAACGTTGTACTCTGTTGTCTTCTCGATTAGCGTATGCATGACTTTGAGGTGGCCTACCGTGCTATAGCCTCTTCGAAACCCCGCTTGTTCGACTGGCTAATAGAAGTCGAATTTACTGGTCAAGCAGTTTATGACTATTCTTCTTAACAGTTTGTAGAAGGTGGATAGTAGGCTGATCGGTCGGTAGTTTTCCATTCTCGCGCAGTCGCCTATTTTGAACCGCCGGATAAGTTCAGCATTCTTCCACGCAGTTGGAATCTGTTGCTCCTATAGGCATTTGTTCAAGAGGATGAGCAATGCCTTCTCCAGCGGTTCTCCTCTCATCTTGAGCATTTCGGTCGTCACTTTGTCTTCTCCGGGTGCCTTTGTCCGCTTTTTTTGTGTTTTCCTTCTGGCCATCCTGGATCGTAGGACTCGCATGCTGGTATTTTCGGCTATTGTTCGGTGAACCAGTTGGGTGTTATGGTTTCTCAGATCTTTTCGGATTTCTTTTCTTATGGTCTTGTTGAGGGCTTTGTATCCATCCGCGTGTCTATCTGCTTGTCGTCGCTCCTCCAGGAGGGCCATCGTATTGGCACTCAACCTATTGTCTATTGGTTTGGTACGGCTGCATACTCTTTTCGTCGCCACCTGAACGCTGAAAATCTTTATGGACAGTTCGTCCAGGCCCATGCTTCGTAGGGTTTCCATTGGCTCCACCTTAGTCCGGATGGTTTCCTGATATTCGAATTGCCTTTGTTCTAGTTTTGCCAAAGTTGTACATACATAGCTCTTTATTAGTTTGCGCCTCTCCAGCTTAGTGTCGATATTGATTTACAATTTATAATTATACAAACTATAGCCAGACTGAAATGGAATTGGGCAGGACATATCGCTAAAATTACAGATAGTAGAGAGATAAAACGTATTACGGAATGGAAACAAAGAGTGGATGCCTTAAGGAGTAGAAGACAACCCCCAACCAGATGATTAGAGCAGACAGTAATAAATAGACCAAGCTAGTCATTCATGAATCCCAATTTGTTTGGGACCAACATTGAATTCTATTGATAGGCGATTCATCACAGAAAATATGTGGTAGGGATAAAAGTAGGTACTGATGTATATTTTTACAACCAGGAGAATTAATCCAAGGACACGCTCGCCTGGGGCTTTATGTTTATGAGAGCACTCTCGGGTAATTTGTATATTGCCGATTGCTTGAAGTCCGTGAGAAGCTAATTCGATATCCACAAGCGATATTAATCTATTACCGTATCACAGATTACCAAACTCATGATTCGGTCAGTTCTGTGTTTGCGCATGGTAATAAAATTTCCACACATGTGAGTTGTCACGCGCCTGGTATAGACCAGGGCATTTATTTGCATGCGTTTACGTGAGCACTGCCATGGAATTTTTGTATTGCCGATTGCCTAAAATCGGTGAGAGCAAATTTATCTGGCCTAGACCAGGCGAGTAACAATTCACATGTGTGAGCATTTGTGAGACTGAATCAAGAGTTTGGTAATCTGTGATAAAGAATTAAATTAATATCGCTTGTGAATATCAAATTTGCTAGTCACCGATTTTAGACAATCGGCAATACAAAAATTCCCCGATGGTGCTCACTTAAACGCATAAAAATTAACGCCTATGTGAATTTGCTCTCACCGACTTCAGGCAATCGGCAATACACAAACACGGGAGTGCACACGTAGACGCATGAAAATAAAGCTCATGGACACTATGGGTCCAACGCCTGCGTCTTGGAGACATTTCCCCTTACTATAAGGTTACTATTCCGTATTCCCCTCATTAACAGTGTTGTCATCATGAATGTTTATACTACTTTTTTAATTTAATATTTCAGCGCTGTTGTTGCAAACTGAAGAAGTATAACATTAAATACCCTGATGGCTACTTTTTTCTTGATATTTTCTTCTTGATGCTACTCATTTATATCAAACTGAATACCGAGCCGGAAAAGCAGCTCCCGTAAGTACCCACTTTTATATAGACTGTGAACAATTGTTGCTCTTGAACAAACGTACACAAATGCATCTTATAATGCCTGCACTTGACAATCACTTATTTTCTGGGTTCAAACACCGAATTATACGACTTTGGTTGAGTACAGTATTTCACTTTATTGTGCCGAACAGTCTTTACATGAAAGTAGGTGATTGAAAAAGGATTACATCCATTCTCGACACTAGACGGGGCTAATCTCAATTCATTGTCAGAGACGAGGAAAAAGGACAGTGTTGCCGATACACCCTACTCCAACGCACTCTACCGCTACAACCTGTTTAATCTGCGGGTCAGACGATCTGAGACTTATAACATATAAACGTATAAGTAGACTTATAAGTAAACTTAACGGATGCAGGAGGCTCGGGACCGAACTTTGTGGGTGAATTTTTGGGAGGCTTATGTCCAGCAGTGGGCTAGGATACGCTGATGATGATGTTAGGAAAGGTATATGTATTAGATTGAATCAACATCAAGGAAAAAAACGCAAGCTACCCAGCAATATAATTAAACTCAAATTAAGTCGGATTATTTACGTGATCATTTATTTAAATTTACAATAAGAGAGGACCTTCTAAAACATTGAAATTTACTAAAGGAACGCCATCACGAGTCTGCTTTATTGTTTGCTTGCTGTGAGTTCCATCTCCTGAAAAATCACAATCGTTTATTTCTTAATTTTCTTCCGTTATGCGTTTCTGTTAAAATGTATTACCAATTAACCTTCATTCAATATTTTCTTTAATATTTGCTATTTTTTTACTTACCATTATTTCGGTAAATAATCACTGATTCAATTTCGAATGTAAATTTGCTCGAGTCGCTGGCTCCATCGATTGGACTGCAAGAAACAATCGATTAATATGAATATATGTATAATATAGAGCCGTAATTTATTAAACTTACGTAACGGTTCCCATTTGGGTTTCATCGTCCCATTCAATATTAACATATAAGTATTTTTTCTCATTCAAATACTCAAAACTCTCGAAGTCGTCAATGTAAACTCTGGTTTCAGCAAATCCATCCTTCAACACAATAAAATGATTTAGGTATATAAAGATATAGTGTGACATTTTCATCTCCGACGAACTTTATACGCCCATACAGATGAAGAGCGTACTTATGTTTAGGTTAGGACAACAAATTTTCTATTATTTACTAGCTACGCAATCATTTGCTGGACAATTTGAATTCTTTTTCACGGCCGAGTAACTTCGTTACATGCGTTTACTCTATGTATATATACATTAGCAGATGCTTATTCAACTGATTTAAATTAATTTTGAATTAAAATCTTAGTTGCAGTATAAATTGTACTGATTAGTTAGGTCCAAGTACCGATATTAGATATTAGTTACGCTATGAGAAACAAGTAATACCGCCTAAGCGTAAACACACTTTACTTGATAGGAATACCCTGTGCACAATCTAACGTAATGTCAGGTAAATAGGTATTCTTTTAAACGTTTCATTTTAAAGGAAACATGCTTCCTGAGAAACATAAAAAAAAATGAATTGTTATTTTTTAAAAAACAACAAAAAACCAAGCAAGAAGAAATATTCAGATACTTCACGAGCAATTCGGTCACATATTTCTTTTCACAGAAGGTATAATAGTAATTTCTCAGCATTTAGCCTTCACTAGTAGTTAAATGAATGAAAAACATGAAAAGTAACAGTTTATATATAAGTCTTACATCGTCAACGACAACGTGAAGTTCGTGCGGATCGTCTTTTATATCGGCTGTGGTTCTACCAACTCTCGGTTTGCGTGCTATGATACTTCCAGATCGGTAGAAAACTGGCGTCTGCAATATTAGCGGTAAAAAATAATCGCTTAGTATGAATTAGATAAACTTACAAATGAAATATCAACTGGGATGGTATACCAGTGGCCACCTTCGAATACACCTGATGGACCAGTTGCTTGATACCAGAACTCATTTTCACCTGGGAGGTAAACTCGAAGACTAGTTGCTTCCGAAAAGTATACATTTGCTACTAAGATATCTTTGCCTGAAATATCGCAAACAAATCTATAAGAACTGTAAAATGTGTGTAGATATGTGATTAATATATGTATAGTTACAAGAACACAACAACTAGAATGAGGAGAGAAAGAGAACAAGGTGAAACGTGCCGTTAGCAAACAAGAAACTTAAAATACCCTAAACTGAAAATTTGACCAGGCAAACGAAAGCAGCCATTAAACAAGTTGCTCAGATTCAATAAATTTCTTGACTGTGTGGACATGGGAAAGAAACATATTTGCTATTCTTTCCAATATATTTTGCAAATTCAGACAGTTTGATGAAATTTTGGCGAATTCTTATTGAATTTTTCATGGTGCTTTCCTGCAGCTTTATTACTGACATTTTATTAACTTCTTTTGTGTAACAAATCAGGCTGCTTTCAGCATTTACTTTGCAAAGTGTTACTAGATTAAAATAGATGTTAATTGAGTTAGAGCCTTATAGTTTTAAAGATTATTTAAATATGTAACAACAGTATCTTTTAGTATAATGTGTCCTTTGTGAATTTATTTTTAACGCCATTTCATTTTGGATTCTTTGTACATGTGCATGTATCAATTGAATGTAATTTGAAATAAAGAAATAAAATTAAAAAAATAATAATAAAGTGTTTCATTTGCTTATTATGCAATACTGTTTACTGCAATTTTTAAATTTTCCTGGCAATTCATTTGTTGCTGCATTTTGGGTTTTAGTAGTTCATAAACTCATTGTCCTTTTGATTTACTATGCGATGAGGTTGCCTTTGTTAAAATGAGACTTTTATTATTTATTTAAAAGAATCTAGACAAATTGCACTAGAATAAGCGATGAGATAGAGTGACATATTTGCGTCCAAAGAGCACGCAGCAAAAATAGTTTTGAATATGTCTTTGGACGATTGATAAAAGCTATTAAATTGCAACCTTTAAGTTTCAATTTTGAACGTGGAAGATTCCGAGTTATTTTCACAGTTGAAACACCATTTTTAAGAAAAGCTATTTCAAATTTCCATAACTTTCCTATGCGTAACTGATCGGAGCATATGATTATGAAGAACGATATTCCAATATAGATTTTTTGGGTTGTCGGCTATTCATATCCCAATAGACAAATGAGTTTTCGCATGAGACACCTGTTCAAATATTGCAAGCATTATTGCAAGTCGTAGCTTTCTGGAAGTTCTGTTAGCTTAAAATTGCGCCAACTAATTAGAGCGTATATTAAAGCAACCGTGTTAATATCACCATATATTTTGAATATTTCTGGTGATTTCGTTGAACGACGTTTGACGAGCAATATCTTAAATTAAACCAAAATCCTATTTTACTCTTTGAAATGTCACTTATCGTTTATTGCAAACCCGAAAAGCTGCAAAACGGTTTTCGAAGCGTTTTCGTTTGCATTTTATGCCTGGAAATATTATTTCCAGGCATAAAATGTCCATTTTAAGAAAATAAAATTTCCATGTCTATTAGACATTTTTCAATTTGCCTTAAAATATAGCATAAGAACATGAACGAACTCCGGATGCTCTAAAAGAACAAACGGGTCCAAAAAAATTGTGAAACCCCTACGCATATCGGCAGATTCGCGTTTTGTTTAACAAAAATACTAGATCCAATTGTGTATTCATATATCACTCCCATTTAAAAAAAACTATTCTAAAGTTTGATAGTATCCTAAAATCAACCAGAGTTTATATTACTAAATGACCACCTGGCTAAGTTGGAACAGCAGTTCTCTGATGTCCAGAAACGTGCGTGTTAAAATGATTATTCTTAATATTTTCAGTTATGCATAGATATTATTATTATCCTCCAGAAAAAGGCAGTACAGGCAGGACAAGAAACAAATAGCGATTAAGTGAATTAGGAGATTCGATGATGGTGATGGGATGAAATAGAGTTACTATATTAAAAATTTGATACTCACCAACAAGGAATTGATCATTAATATCGAAAGCAGCTTCGTCATTGGGATAGTGATAAAGCAGTGGACGAACAAGAGGATCACCCGTAACAGTATGTTCATAGAACAACGTATACCAATACGGAAGATGCTTATATCTGGATTCAATTGCTTCTCGTATTAAATCTTGAGTTTCTTCTGAGAATACCCATGGCTCCCGACGCTCTGTCGAAAGATCAGCGTGGGCACGGTAAAATGGAATCCATGCTCCAGTCTAGATCAGTAAGCTTTATTTAACTTTGACTTGACTTCAGCATAATACAAAATGTTTTTTCAGTGTAGATAAAACTAAAAAAAGTGGAAGTTTTCCTTCTCAAACAACAAATTTGATAATTTTGTGTTTAAATTGCTCAACATTGAACCTAGGTCATATCTATTAGATCGATAATGTCCTCTGAGTAAACCATTAGCATTATTTCACTTTAAATTGTTTTATCCTGCCTATTAACTTTCATGTATTAACAAATGTGTTTCTTTATAAAAGTGGTGAGTATGAGTTGAGCATGTACCATGACAATTTAGAAGGAACGCCCCGTGAACTGCATTTACTGATCAATCAGATGTTACCATCTGCTAAAAGACTTTTACCAGAACACGTTGAACATATTAAGTGGAATAAATTTTGCAGTAGATGCAATTCGCTATAGTTTTCACGGATGGGATTGATATTCCCAACTTTTACGAAGTTAGAAGTAAAATTTCCTAGGGTCGTTGAAGTTAAAAGATTATGTAACCCTACAACCGTTTAAAATATCCAATCGTTCAAAAATATATTTTTCCATATATATCCTTCGATACCTCTCGTTTCATCGAAAGATGTGAAACTTATATCCTGACTTCTAAAGTGAGACTCAATTTAATCAAAAAAATTACATTTTCATTCATACCTCGGAATCGGTTGTAATTATACGCGATTGTAAAAAATGTTGACTAGAGTTTCTAAGCTGCCATCTCAAGTAGGTACTATTTATAAAATATCTTGGGGCTCTTATTAATGAATTATGACTCAAATAAAGCGGTTCTGTTACAAAGGACTGTGTGGAGGCATTTGAAATTTATATATACAGACAGATCCTCCGAATATCCTGTTTGGAATTGAAACCTCATGCTGGGGAATTTCATCGAATGGGCAAGACGAAGAAGTTGCTGCATACCATAAAGAGAGCAAATTCCAATACATCGGACATAGCATGAGAGGAAATCGATACGCACTGCTCAGACTAATGACCAAAATAAAAATCGAGAGGAAAACATCCGTAGGCAGGAGACAAAATTTATGATTCATGATCTGCGCTGATGGTTCGGCAGGACCTGAACTGAAATCTTCCGAGCTGCAATTTGCAGAATTGCAGAATGCAGAACCAGTTGAATCGCCAATCTCCGGAAGGAGACGGTGTCATAAGAAGAAGAGACATTTCTCAACTATTATTTTAACTCAATAAAGTCTAATTTTCAAAACATATGGAAATCGCTACAAAATAAATGTTTGATTGTTTTCAATTATGGTTTGCAATCCGTTGAAAAATAGTTATGAATAGCTGTGACACTTTTCAATGAAGGGTCTTGAGAGCTGCCTTTGCAAGCTGTAAAGAGGTTGGCTTGGATGGATTAAATTTAACAAATTTGATCACATTATAAAATATTTAGAATATCCTTATGCTATAGCTTCTAAGCTCTGGGGATATAGAGGCTAGATATGTAGATATATTCTATATAGTATCATAGGAACGATATATTTTTTAACAATTAGTACTAATGTGATACTTACAACCTATAAAAAGCTAGAACAAAAATCCCCCAAATCTTTAGATATATTTAAGCTACTTCCGGAAAGGATTATGGCACTCAGAATTTACCTTCCGGTTAGATCGTCTAGAGAATTGTTCTTTCCGAAGTGGGATTTATATGAATCCAAAATGTAATTTGAAACTATTGAAATCGTCAGATCAGCGGCAAAGACTTTTATGAAAGTATATGAAAAAATTTACAAATACATGAGTTTTCATTCAAAACTCGGGAACTGATGAACATATTTGGAGACTATAGGTATGCACGCAGTGGCGGGCGTTGCCGAACGAAATGGTTCTGAACCGAGCTTGTGCCATAATTCTGGTCTTTAGTTATTGTGCAATATTTTGAACATTTTATTTAACTGTTGTTGCGTACTGTATTATGAATAAATGTTTGTTTTGGAATATTAGGTCTCAATAAATAATGCTATGGATAGAAAAACAAACCCTGTTTACAACATACATTTAAGAAAGAGGTTTTTACTATAAAAGGAACTTTCACCAAACACATTTTGATATTTTACTTAGATAACATTTTAACTAATTTGAAGTAGATAAATGATAATACATTACTTACTTGATACCACCGACTAGCAAGTTCGTCAGTAGGTTTCCCGAAAAATCCTGGCACGTCTCCTCCATAAAACACCAAACCGGCTAAGTTTGAAGATATCGTCATTGGTACCAAAATACGCAAGTACTCAAAAGTGCAAACAGTGTCTCCGTTCCACTTGGCAGTATATCGCTGAGACCCGGCGAATATTGAGCGAGATAGCAAGAAGGGCCTCAAGTTACCTTCGTCACGATTCATTAAACCTTGGTGAGTGGTCATGACCTAAGCAAAATAGGTAATTGTGGATATATTCACATCACAACGCTATGGTGTACTCACTTGGTGCAACCCATACATATTGTGAACATCGCGGTGCTTTACATTTCCATACTGTACGGCCTCGGAAGGAATCGTACGCTCGTAAGTGTTATCAAAAAGGGCCGGTTCATTCATGTCATTCCAATAACCTCCTAGAGTGGACGTGGAAGGGAAGTTTTCATACAAATGCAACTGGGCATAATACTCCCTAGCTTCCGGATTCAAAAAGTCTATCCAACTGACATCTCCCGCCCAGCAGACTGAAACGAACGGCGTCCCATTGGCATTATTGATGAAGTAGTCGTTCCTCAGACAGTCATCATAGATTTTATATTCTGGGTCAACTTTTATATTAGATTCGGAAATTGGAACTAGTTTTCGATGACCCTGTTCTTCAACCCAGTCCAGTAAGGCAATGGGATCGGGAAAAGAAGTAGTGTTCCATGTAAACCATTTGCGATCCGCTGTATATTCGATGTCCAACCACAGTACGTCCATGGGAAACCTGTACTCGTCGAATTTTCCGATTATGTCTTTTACATCTTCGGTGTTGTTATAGGCCCATCTGCTTTGATGGTGACCCAAAGCCCAGAGCTAAAAAATATTAAGCATTCTATAAATTGTTATTTAATTTGGTCTAGTACGGAAGTAAATTAGATTAACTCCGCTACGTCAGTCCCAAGTCTGGAGCGTTTCCACTTAAGAGGAGAGGCAGGAGGAGGGAAAGAGGAGTAATACACCGTTAAAAAACCAGAGTTAATCAGGCTGCGACGATGTGAGGGCTCCTGCCTAGGGTACAGGCAAAAAGCCGGGGGTCAATGGCTTTGAGAGTAGACTATATGTAGGCATTCTACTTGAATTTCATGCATTTTAGTTGAAAGAGGAGAAGAGCTATGATGAGAGGATAACAGGTCTAAAAAGTTCAGAAAGACAGTTTTATGGGAAGGTAAACTCGTATGGGAAGGAAACTCAAAGGCGATAGACCAGCACTCCATCACTTGTCAAAATCATAAACAATGCTAAATTTCTCAATAACGGCATCATCTGGCCAAGAGAAAGCTTATGGAAACTGAAACGTGGAAGATTCAAGTGATTTCAACTAAAAAAGACGAAGTTTTCAGAGAAATCTACAAACCTCAAGTGAATATAGTGGCATTGACCGAGACCAAGAAGAAGAGTCAAGGCACAGAAGAAAATCATGGGACTTTCCATATACACTCAAGGGTACCAAAAGAAGAGAAAGGTTGCAGCAAAGTATCGTTGGCAATAAACAAGAAATGCAAAAAGAACACGAAGTCCTGGGATCAAATAAATTATTAAATATTGCAGGTTAAAATGAAATTTTATAGGTATAATGTGGTCATGATCGCTGTATGTGATTCTGACGATGATGCCATTGCAGCGCAGAAGGACCAGTTCTACAGGGTGTTCCGTAAATATGTTAAAATATTATAACAGCGTGTTCTTCTAGTCAATTAAGGAGGGGGTCTTCCTGAGATTTTTTTAAATTCAAGGTTCCGTTGTTAAGTTATCTGATTTCCAAAATGTCGGAAAATATTAGTTTTTGTTGTTTTCCTTTAAAACGATTAAACATAGAAATTTCAATTTTGGCATACTTTATAAGCTAATTGAGTACCATTTTATCAAAATGTTTTGTAGTTCAGTTTACTTTTATACAAGGTAGAAATGTGGAACCCCTACTTTTGTTCTATTCAGAACTTTTTGTGCGCACTTAAACTTTTCTCGACATGATCTTGTTAATTACTAGAAGCTATTTGCCAACTTTTTTTATCTCTTACTGTTTTCTTCTAAAACTACTACTTTGCCCGCAAAACCATAAAATCGTTTTCTTTGTCGTTCTCAAAATGTGTATGTAATTAAGTTAATTTTTGTAAATCTAATAAAGTTTTCATATAACAATTTTGGTACGCATTATTAGTTGATTCCTAACAACCTAAATTATTTTTCTAACTTGTGTATTTTGGTTCAGATTACAATTATTAAGTTTTAAGAAATTTCACGTAAATAAAAACATAGTAAAAATATGTGCAACGATATAAACGAGCAAATTTAAATTTAAATAACCATTCCAATGTTAACTTAGCATCAGTCTTTTAATGAAATTAAAATTTACAGACCGTAAAGTTTGCACTGAAGTTCTTATTTCCTTAGAAGTATTAAATATTATTTCCCGAAGTTATTTGATTGTATTCACTTCTGTTGAATATACCGTATTTCTTTAACGGCCCCAGGAGGCGAGTTTATAGGAGCTGCTTGACCTCTCCCAATTCAACGGCATTCGAAAGTTTTGATCAAGCCGAAACGATACACACAAAAAAAATCTGAATAAAACAAAAGTAGGAGTTCCATATTTATACCCTGTATAAAAGTAAACTGAAACACTATCACAGAATGGCACTCAATTAGCTTATAATGGGTGCCAAAATTGAAGTTTCCAATGTTTAACCGTTTTAAAGAAAAAACCACAAAAACTAATATTCTTCTCCATTTTGGAGATCAAATATTTCAAAAATGAGACCTCAAATTAAAAAAATTCTCAGGAAGACCCCCTCTAAAATGACTAGGAGAACACTGCCTAAATATTTTAACATATTTACGGAACACCCTGTATAATGATTTGACAAGGCCGAAAATACTTTATGTTTGAAAACCATTCACCGCAAACATATTCTCAACAGCAATGTGATGAATGAGAACATGAAACAGTAAGATACAACATTGAAGGACTGGAAGATGGCTCCACTAGATTCTTATATCAAATACGACCAGCACTCGAAGATGTAAATTTTGCAAATGGATCACCGGATACTATGTACGAAGCTTTGAAAATCTGCATCCCCCAAGCAGCTAAAGAAACTCCGGGAGAACTAGATAAGTGTAAGGATTCCAAGTGTGAACCCTGATAAATAACAAAGCTAGAAGCTCTGGTATAAAAGAAAAAAAAGTGCATAGAATGTGGCTAATAACAAAAAGACAACATCCAAGATCAACTTATTTACCGATCTAATAACAAAGAAACTCAAACATAACTCATGAAAGCAAGAAACAAATACTAGGAGAAAACATGTGAAAAAGCAGATGGAAGTAAAGGAAATACCAAACAACCATAAAATAAATCAAACAACACTTGGAAAATGTTGAACGAAATGAGGATAATAACAAAGATATAGAATGGGTAAACTAACTACTACTACTACAAAGGCCTATTAACTGAGGACCGAACAAAATTCATTCAACAAAATCAAGAAATGGATAAAGGCGAGTCCATTAATGAAAACATCACATCCATAACACCATAAGAAATAAGAACAACATTAACACAGATAAGACACAAAGATCTTATCCTAGGCAATTTCAACATTAAATTACTGCAGGCAGCGCCAAATGTAGCTTTGAACATCTTAGCAGCATCTTCAATAAATGTATAGAGGGTATCGAAAGCCGTTTATTCAACGATCTCAAGGTCAGTAATGAAAGGAAAGCGACTTCCCAAGAATTTCAAGAGACGAAAGGTCTAAGGCAAGGCTGCTCCTTAGCTCCCTTATAGTATAAAATATATCTCAAAGAAGCCCTGAGATCTTGGAAGCGGAAATGTTGCAAGATGTGCGTGTGTATCAATGGCGGTACCTTATATACCCCACCATTCGCGGATGACCTTGTTATTGTAGTGCAGATGAAAACGACGCCAACTACATATATAGTAGTAGGAGATAAAGGACAAGAATTAGAAGTGGGGCACGATAAGATCAGAAGCTTTTCTTCATTTAAGTACCTTACTTAGTACCCCTCTTTTCCACCGGAAAAAGTGCCAGCGACATCGCTAAGAAGATAGGTGAAGAAAAGGAGTAATTCGACAACTAAACTCGTTATTTTGGAGCTCAGAAATAAAAAAATACGAAATGTACTGTGTAAAACGATCGTAGAAAACATATGCACCTAAAAAGCGAAGACTTTGAAAATGAATAAAAGAGCTAAAGGTAGGTTGATGGCCGTTGAAAAGGGTTTTTTAGACGAAGCTGTCATATTTCCAGACTATATCACGTAATAAATGATACCATAACACAAGATGAACGTCGAAGGCAATATTCTAGACACAATAGATACCAACAGATTAATCTGGTACGGGCACTTGCAAAGAATGCATGGAAATAGATGGCCTAAAAAATATGGAAATGGATCGGGAGCTCAGAAAGCGCGGAAGACCACCTAGAAGTAGGTTTACAAGATGGAGATTGAACAGACCGAAAAAAATGAAAGTTGAGAAGCGAGAAACGGCTCTACCCGTAGAAACTTCGCATACATATTTACGGAAGTAAATTTGCACGAACCAGATACAACACTGACGGTATTATAACTACATATTATTCCGAAGCATGCATGTATTTGTCAGTATATGATGATTTAGACAATATGATTTACAGGTAAAATGCAAATCTGTAATTAATCAGACAACAAAAGATTTTGCAAAGACATATTAAAAGTAGAATTTATGTGCAACATATTCAAACTCAAATTTCAATCTCAAAATGTTTCAACTTTTCCGATCATCTGAAATTTGAGAACGTCCGGAGTCTAAAAATCCAAATGCTCACCTGTGGTAAATGAGGCTTTCCAGTCAAATCTGTATACTGTCGAACAGTTTTGGGCAAAGTGGGTCCCATGAGGACGAATAAGTCTAGAAGTCCTGCATCTACCATAAAATATGCTGACATTTCATCAGTATCTATCTCAACCCACATTTCCGCCCCATTGTGGACAAATATTCCAGATGTATGTTCCCTGAAACAACCAATTAATATTTTTCTATTGAAAGAGTAAATATCGCATTGTACATGATTGAGGATTTAAAAAAAATATATGTTTGTTTCTTGTAAATCGAGACATGTTCAGGAAAATATCAGTAACTTATTTCGGGTTTGAATGAAAATTATCGTCGACAAGGAATTTAGTGTTAAGTACTGTATAAATTGCGGGCAAGAGTAACAGGTGTTCCTGTCTCTGACTTTGAGCTGGAAAATTAATTAAATACATTTTTAAATATCTATACATTAAACTAGCATAAAATATGAGATTTAAAAGAATCTCTAAATAGTCATTAGTTTTTTATGCAGCTGCGTATGAGGTTCTAACATCGGCTTCACAAAAGAAATCTTACTTTTTATGCAGTAGTTAGCTTTTGCCCTGTGTGTTCAAATGAAAATGTATTAAACCATAAAATGTTTCAGTTAAAGTGAAGGTAATAAGTAAAGAATTAGGTATGTAGATAGAACACACAAATAAAACTTGCTCTAATATTCATAAAGATCTAAGCATTGCTCACCCAAAACCATATAAGACCGGAATGGATCCATACATCGACTGTGTTACATTTATGGAATACCCAAAAATCCCATAATCTACATTTTTCAACCTGTAGGGATCGACTTTATAATCAGCAGTATGCATTAGGCTAACGGTGTTTGGATGTTCGTGCAGACCTATTAAACGTTTGGCTTCATTAAACTTGACCGTAAAAGTAAAAGCTTGGGATTCCTCAGTCTAAAAAAAACATATCTTTATAGTATCTCACTGGAGTTTTTTGTATAGTATTTCACAGTAATTACAATTTTCAGTCTTGATTCACTACTTCGTACATACATTTTGCATGATGAGCCTGCTTCCATCAAATACGCTTTCAAGTATATCATCGTGGTAAAATTCGATTGAAATGGGCTGGAACGAAACATATAACCTGTTTCCATTGCCGTCAGAAGCAATCAGAGCATCATCACCAAGATAATCTACAGTTAGCCTGAAATGAAAAATGTATGACTATTTAATTAACGAATGTTTAAAAATTAAAAATTATGTTCTTGCACAAAGTACTGCATTTTCATTACATTAGTTGATTAATTAAATATTAAATTTACCTTAACTCCGTTAATAACAAGTTAACGTAAGTTGAATACGAAAGTTTTTGAATATTTTAGCTTCAAGGCCGAATCAGCTGAGGTTGAATTATTTATCAAAATATTAAATTTATAATAAATCAGCATGGTTATTAACGGAAACATTCGCATCAAAATTCTCTGAAAACGCTCACTATACTTATACCTACTCATTAGTTTCTGGCTCCTTTTCCAAACAAAATTGTATGCGATATCGATGTAAATCTGGTTCTTCGATGATAACACGAAAGCGATTGTCTACAACTCCAGAGATCTTCATGATCAACTTGGAACCTGCTCCATTTGTTAGATCGAATTGCAGGATTCCATCATCAGCATTTAAAAAAGCTGCATTGTAGAGTTCATTCCAATCGGGTCGTCTAATTCTGTGCTCTCTGAAAGTTCACAATCATAACAGCCCAAGCATTAAATTGTTATAATTAACGATATTAATATTGATATTGGATTGCTAATGATACTTGAAGCCTGGGAATGACAAAATAAATAATTTTCCACTCAGATATTGTAACACGTTGGAACATTTTAAGTTGTTTTTGTCAACAAACTACTTCACAAAAGTACATATTTTTAATGCTCTTTAGGATTCAAAGTAGCTGTTGTTGTTGATATTATTGGATTCTCACTGAATGAGGCTACACTTATGATTAAATGATGTTGATTACTTATAATGTAATTTCCTATTTCTTATTTCCATAAGGTATTTAAAAAAGAAATTATATGAAATAATGAAGCTGTATAGTAGATATATAGAGACCAGAGGGCTATGCTACAGTCAAGCACTTGCAGGACCCATCTTGGGCCTATTAGTCCCCATCAGCTGACCTTAAATTGCAGGTGATATAGTTCACAAGTTTGCATACATAGTTTGCAAGGAATAATTTCTCCAAATGCAGCTAAAGTAAGTTTGGAAATTACTTGATCAATAACTAATATTCTTCCAACAAATATGTTGGCACATATCTGTATCACGGTGGAAAGAAGGGATAAGGAGGACAGCATCTGGTAAAATCCCTACTTGCTTTACTCATTTATTCTGTTTCACTTAAAAATTATTGCAATAATGCTTTCAAATAGCCGCTCTTAACATGCGAGATCTTGGTGCGACTCAAAAATAAGAAGGTCAAGTTAGTGTTTGTTTAACAGCTCACTTAATGAAGATTTAGAAAGCATCTGATAAACAGACCGCTCAAATAGAAGAAAAGAGTGCCGGAGATCCAGAATTTTGTTCTGAGCTTTATGTGAAACGGGTTGATACTGGACGTTTGAACATATATCACAAACAAAGAAAATATTATAATTGTACATTACTTACATCACAGATTTCAAATAATACATGTGCATAGAATATAGAAATATAATTTACATGTGAATTCAAAACTCTTTGGAGCGCACGGAGTACATTTACTTTATTTCATTTCATTGAAAATGATTCTCTCCAATGGATATTTTTACTTTTTCTGTAACTAAATGGAGGTAAAAAAATATAATAGATGTTCAGAAAACAGATGCACATGGAAGGCTAACTATAATTTGCAGGTCAATTAAAAAATTTTAATATTTGCAAACAAATATTTTACTTTGTTTAAGTCAGATGATTGCAAAAATTGCATGTGGTTGCCTCTCCCGATTCTATCGAATTTTATTCGTATCTACTATTTCCTATACAAACATGTCTGTATGGAGAATGCACGGCTAAAATGTTTGCAAAATCGTCGGTTTTAGACAATACTGGATGGAGCCTACTTTAAAATTATTTTGGAAATGCTTTGCTTTTGTGGGGGAAAATCGGTGACTGAATTGAAACCGGTGTCGGAAACCCTGAAGCTCATTTTTGGTTTTTTCATATATGATGTACTAAATATTGACATTCAGGAGCAAAGTCTGTTTGATTTTGTAAGCTAATTAACTCAGAATCAGACACTATTTCTTAGCAATTGGTAAAAATTATGTGTCTACCTACCTAAAACAAAAACTTTAAAGTTATCAAGCACTTCACTCATACCTGATAAAATTAATTTCTACAATAAAAACTAAGTTTGACGTATGCAAATTGAGTCTATGCTAAATTGCTCAGTATGCAAAACTGTTATTATTATTTTACGTATTACTTCAATATTTTATATTTAGTGAATGTAAAATACAAATTACTAGTACTACTTACGAGCACAACGTTCTCGTTGAACAGTTAGCGGGATATGGTATTTCAAAATGATCGTCTCCATTAACGCACGCAGCTGCCAGGAAAAGGCAAATTCCTAAAGTTAATCTAAAAAATACACTTTTTAAAATTATGATTCTTGTATGTTTCACCGAGAGAATTAGTTACCTTAAAATCATTTCGACGCCTTGCCCCACTCTGAAACCACTGCAACTTAATGACTGTAGTCACTAGCAAATTTATTTTCCAGTTTCTGGTATATAAACTCTCTGAAAGTTATTATCTAAAGAAAAACAATTCACTTGAGTAAAATCTGCACGATAGATAAGTGGGATCTTATATGTTTGCCACAAGTAGGTACCTATAAGTACTTTCAACTGCATCTGATAAGTATAGTGTTGTTTTTCCGTTTGATAATCAGTAACAAAAGTGCTTGGTATGTACTGGTTTCAGTTACATAAGGTAACTCATGTTCACACCGATTGAATAAGTGCTTACATGCTTTGACGTACGTAAATGGTACGTAATATATGTGCGAGAATTAAAATCTGAGTCACAAATATTGTTTCTCTTTTACAAGTTATTTTTTACGGATGTACGTACATGCCTCTGTCACAGTGTAACAGTTGAATGAGAATTGAGGGTATTTTTCCACGTTTATATAATTGTGCGGCCTAGCCCATCCCCATCCCGGTGGTGTCTACCGCGGTGACTAAGACGTCGTATTGTATTTCTACAACTAGAAGGTCAAATTGTTTAATTTGCCTTTAAACATTTTTTCACCACTAAGTAGCAGGTACAGAAGAACGAAATGATGGCGATACAAAAATTTATGGTAATAAAATATTTAGCGTTAAAACCGTTGAATAACAGAAATAAAATCTAGTTTAATCAATTAATTTTTAATTTCTTGATTATTTTACTTCGATAAAAATAACTTTTTATTCGCGGAAGAGAAAACGCAAAGCCAAAAAATGAAGAGATCATATAGAGATAATAGCTGACAGTTGTGCCGCCAAAAACGTCAGAGAACCGAGGCAAAATTAAATGCATGAAAATGCCTACCAACAGGAACGAAAGTTGAATATAAGCCAGATTTTTAATTCGGCATTGTACAATGCATATACCCTTCTGGCTGATATTTAGATTAGTGGTGTGAAAATAGGTTATTTTTCTGTAACAGGTTACAACGTTCCAGTTTCACCGTGGTAATAGGTTTCAAAGTTGCCGTTTCCGGGATTAAGATGGCCATAGGGGCGGTCGGATATCCCTAGAAGAACTTGTCTCCTCAGCAGGGAGAACTCATAAAGAGGCACCTGCTTAGAAAAATCGACGAGCTGCAGCCTGGGATGACTACCAGGCCAGCTCATGCGTACCGCCCTCAAGATTTTTCTGGAATTCATTGAATACACAGGGATAATAAGGGAGTAAAATACAAGGGCACAATAGGACAGAAATGACCGCGGTGATATGCCAAACATCACTGCGGAGGTGAGGAAATGGTTTAAGCGGGTAAACAGCTGATCTTGAATTCCGCACAGCCCAGAGCGCATTAACACGCATTATCAACTAATAAAGAGAGATAACGTTAGCAACTAATAAAAAGAACACTTTACCTAAAGCTCAGTGAAAAAAGATATCACGAGGAAACTTACAGAAACAACCTTGATACATCACCGGAAATTGGTCTAATGATTCAAGGAACAGACAGTAATGCACTAAACTATTACATAACAGATAAACTGATAAGCACTGCAGAGGAAATCCTTAAAGTTGCACCAAAGAAACAAGCACTGGGAATGATAACAAAAGAGATAAAGAAAGTAATACGTAGGAGAAATAACGAAAAGCTGAATATGATAGGCAAGGATCTGAAAGTAATAAACAAAGAAATTAGAAGAGAAGCAAGAAATGGTGTGAAACAATATAACTTAAAAATGATGGACAGAATAATTGAAAATAACAAAAACCCCAAAATATTTAAATAAGCGACGTAAGCGGAAGAAGAAGTGAAATAATAAACATAGGAGAGACAGGACAAATAATAGGTACACCAAAGACAGGACATTCTAAGAGCAATAGGACGAGTCTACCAGAACTTGGACGCATGTAAAACATTAGAAGGACCAGACACATAAAAAAGCCGTAGTAGAAGGCGCATGCTAACAAGACACCACACCGAAGACATCCAAAAATTCAAAAATTAAATTAAAGTAGCATTGAAAAAAAATAAGAACAATAATACAGCATGGATGGATAAAGTGCTAATAGATATGATAAAAATGGGCGGAAAAAACTTCTCCACTACTAACAAATACCTTACAATCAATTCTGAAACTTGGAAAAATACCGGAAAACTTCCAAAGTAATACTAATATTTGAAATATTTAAAAAGGTATTTACAGAAACCTGAAGAACTTATCCTTTACTACAAATGTCGCACTTATATAAACTTCTATCAAATATATTAACAACTCGACTCTCTTATAAATTAGAAGCATCCCAATCACCCGAAGAACAGGCTCGGTTCATACAAGGATTCAGCACAATGGACCATATAGGTACACACAATACCGCAAGTAATATAAAAGTCATATGAGTATAATCAGCCGCTGTAGTCGAACCGACCATACATATGTGCCCTTAATCCATGCCCCAAACGAGGACGGAAATATTATCATAGACACAAATGACGACACCAAGCCATTTAAATGACAAATGCCTATCAAACATACCTTTGGCAGAGGCTATTGATTTGATATTTGGCAGCCAACATGTTCGACCTAGAAAGAATGCTAAGAACTGCAATCAGCTACACAGAGAATAGGGCTAAAAATCAATATCTCAAAAACAAAAATAATGATGAATGCAAATAATGCAACACCGGAAGAAATGGGAAGATAACACATAGAATTGGTAGCCGAATATATATATCTGGGGCAGAAAATCACACTAACAAAAGAAACACAAGCAGCGGATATTCACAGACGATTAAAAATGACATGGGCAGCATTCGGGACACTTAGAACCCAAGTATTTCAAACAAAACTACCACAGTATGTAAAGGCAAAATTATACAATCAATGCGTGCTACCAATTCTAAAATATGCATCCGAAACATCTTCCATAAAGAAGGCAACAATGGAAAATATTAAACGATGTCAAATAAAAATGGAAAGAGCTGTGCTTGGAGTGAGACTACAAGACCGAAAAGAAACGAACGTATAAGACAGAAAGTAAAATTGGATGAAGTAGCAAGACGCATAGCCAGCTGGCTCATCAAGCTTGAGGTGGACAAAGATGACTGTATGGAAACCACGACAGGGTAAAAGAGATAGAGGAGGCAAAGAGCCAGTTGGAACGACATCGATAAAACTGCAGTTTAGGATAGCGAAATATACTTAACTAAATTAGCTCTAACTTAGACCATGTGGACGATGTTATGCTGTTCTCATTTCGAGTTGTTCAATTCATTTATGTACTAAACTAAATTAGAAGGTAACAGCGGTCCTCGTACAGATGTATCGTCGGTGTCTATCATTCTTATTTACAAGCGTAGCTGTACCAGCTTAAAACGGTAGCGAAACTGCACAGCAGGAAGAAGAGGAATCCTACTGGGCTTGTTTATATCACTAGCAAACTTTTCATGAGTCAAGGTACAAGAAAAGACGTTTGAAAGCCATGCGATCCGTTCGAGGAGCACCAGGACCACGAGTGTGAAATTGGTTACTGATAGTAGGTAAGCAAGCTTCCCATAGAAAATATCCTACTGGAAAAAGACACAACCAAAAGTCGTCAATGCATAGAATCTGCACATGGAACGTTCAGGGTCTTAATAAACCCGGGAAAATGACGATTGTCGAAAAGGCCATGGAAGACTTAGCCATTGTTGGCATATAAGAAAATGACTGGAAAAATACTGGCCACTACGTATCGCAGAGCCGTAAACTTATACTATCATCATTCACAATCCATCAACGAGGTCGCGTTTATAATACATAAACAATTAAAGGACACTGTACTTGGCTACAAAGCAGTCGTAGCGATCGTAAAAATAAAAGCGCAGCCAGTAATTCTAAACCTTATTCAGGTTCAGGTCAGCCTCCTCAACTACATCGTCTCAAGACGACATTAACAACTTTTATGGACCACTCTCTTAGGCATTCTCAAAAGTTCCAAACAGAGAGCTTTTAATAATTCTAGGTGATTTCAATGCCAAAATCGGAGAACTAAAAGCCGATTCGCACCTAAGATCAGTCGTCGGCCAGTATGGAACGGAAGTATGAAATGAACGTGGAGAGATGCCAATTGAATTCTGTGCAGACAATCAGCTATCAATAGCTAACTCCTACTTTCAACACCATGTCAGGAGACGGTACAAATGGAGATCACCAGAGGCCATACACGGAATCCGATCGATTATTTATTAATGAAGAGTAGATGGGTAAGCTCGATTAGAGATATAGCCTCTTCAGACCCATGGTATCATATATGATACTCCTGAAAATATATTTTTATTTCCCGCATAGAGCGTAATAATTCGTCCGGGGCCGGTGTATCATATACTATACTGCCTGAAGGCATGCGTAAAAATTATTGCGCTGCATTTCTGCTATATTTGGCATCAGTGTCGGTTTGTTTACATGTGAGTGAGTAGCAGCAAAACACGAGGTCATGGTTTTCAACAAAAATAAACGTAAGTACAAATTATTTTTGATTGTATTTGGTTTTACATTGTTGTTAAGATGTCATTTGATGTTGATATACCCAGTGGGCATGTACATTTT